ATATAATATATATATATATTTATATAGGTTTTTGCTGGGTTGAGTTAGAGCCTTCACAATCGGCATGTTGCCCATGCGGTTGCTGCTGCTGCTTCAGGACGGCCGCCGTTTGGTGCTGGAGTTACACGACGTGGCCCATATACTGCATTTGTGGACGGGAATCCCTCTTGGCAAAATGACAGAAGATGAGGTTTCCAGAGTCCTTCGCCTCGCGGATATTCTGTCTCTTGTATGTCCCACCACAATCTGCCTTCCATTTCGTGTGGCCGAACCGTTCCGCAGACCATGGTGGTGGTTAGACGGCTCACAGCAACGGGAAACTGCAGCAACAACTGTACTAGGGAGATAGATTGTGTTTGTTCAAGTTGCGCTTCAAGTATCGTAGTTGTTCTTTGTATTGATCCGCGCACAATACCTTTTGTCTGGAAAGGTTCTTGCTCTGGGTTGTGTCACCGCTTCTTTGCGTGGCCGTTTTCCTGTAACTCTACATATTATCTTTGAGATTATGCTTCTGGCATGCGCTGCTGCAGCTTGTATTCCTGAAGTGTTTGTGTTAATAGGGTTGTCGTTCATAGCATTTGTTGTATTTGCTGTTTGTTTGCTTTCTCCTTTAGCGCGTCATCGGCCAGCACCAGGCAGTGAAGGCGGTAGCAGACGCTTTGGCAATCCAGAGGGCGGGATTGAACCCCAAGAACAAACCGTTGGGCACATTCATGTTCCTCGGCTCTTCAGGTAAAAACAGCCGCTTAACTCAAACAGAGAAAGAAGCTGCAGCTGCGTTAAGGAAAGTATGACTTTCAAGCGGGAACCAATTTCGTAGCAATCAGAGGCATAGGACAAAAAAGAGACAGACTGAATCAAATGCAGTTAGAGCGGAAGTAACAAACAAACAGAAACAAACCCGTATGAATGAGCAGAGGCTGAGGAACTAACAGAAACAGACACAGGGAGACGGGGAGAGTTCTTGAGGAACGGCGGTCGACGACACTCGTCAATTAATACGTATCGGCGTTACGTTTTTCTTATTTACTCCCGATGTTCGTGCTGCTCCGACATTATTGATTTGTGATGTTTTCTCCTTCATTTGGGCGTGTACGTTCCTTGTTGCTTCCCGTGTTTGTTTGCATTATGCATTATGGTGGGCGTCGTCTTCTGTTTTGTATTTGCCTTTAGGCGTGGGTAAGACAGAGTTGGCGAAGGCTGTTGCTGAGGAGATGTTCGACTCCGAAAAGAACTTGATTCGCTTAGACATGGTGGAGTATCAGGAGGCACACAGTATCTCGAGGCTTATCGGCCCTCCCCCCGGGTATATGGGCAACGACGAGGGCGGCCAGCTGACAGAAGCAGTCCGGCAGAAACCTCACAGCGTCGTCCTCTTTGATGAAGTCGAAAATGCCCATAAAAACCTCTGGTCTCTTCTGCTGCCGGTGAGGCACTTGGGAGTGGTGTAGCGCAGAGTACACCCTTTCTCCATGAGGAATCGGAATAGTTAGGACCATAAAACTCATGAGCGCTAGTAATCGTGGGATGGATAAGAGTACTAATACCCCTAACACTGTACGAGCAGAAAGAACCACAAACGTCACAAGCATACCAAGAATAGTAGCAGACAGAGACGCAGAGGAGTCAAGCAAATGTTCGGACGGGGTGCTGTCCGCCTTCAGCTCTTGTAACTTTATACTGATGGTTTAGAGTTCATATGTTGTCTAGGATTGTCTAGGGTTTTGGTTGCAGATGTTAGACGAGGGTCATTTATCGGATTCAAAGGGGAATCGCGTGGACTTCACCAATTGTCTGATCATTTTGACTTCAAACATCGGGCAGCAGTTCATTCTTGAAGGGTACAAAGAGGCTCGCGCTTTGTCAGGGTCGAATGAGAAGGGAGGAGCAGCAGACGCAGCAGCAACAGGAGGAGCAGAAGACGGCAGCAGTGGGAAAGGCTCTGGAGCTTCGTCCGTTGGGGGCTTTAAAGGAACAGGCAAATCCCCTAAAGATGTCTTGAGACGCATGAGACAGAAAGTGCTGAAGGAAGTCTTCGGATACTTTAAACCGCAAGTTATAGGCAGGATGAGCGAAATCATTGTAAGGCCAAAGGAGAAACACACAGCAGACACACACAGAGCTGTGGACAGACCAATCGACACAGAGATGTAGACGAGCAAACAGATACACATAGATGCAGACAGACGCACACAGGAACAGACAGAGGGAATGGTCATGGTAGAGAGAGAGGAAAAGCTGGAGTGAATGCATTTCCAGGCTCCAAGGGGACAGAGACTAACTGAGAGACACAGGTGATGATAGACTGCGATATTTGTATGGAGATAGGGGAGCCTATAAGAAAGAAGCACCATTTTTAGATAGGGAATGATGAGAGAGGCAGACATACAACGGAGGAGAGGCGCAAGAAGCGAGCCTTTTGTGCTTCAAGCGTTCCTGCCGCTTGCAGTGGAGGAGTGTTTGCATTAATGTAGGCAGTTGTCTGTCTGCGTGTGTAAGCTGTGCCCATTTTTCTGGTGTTCGTGATTATATTGCTGATGTGTGGTTTTGAAGTTGCATAACGATTATTCCTATGTATATTGCTGTAATGTTCAGATATTTGAGCCACTAAACGATCAGGCGCTGAAGGGAGTGTTGGGTCTCAAGCTGTCTTCGCTGACAAAAGGTTTGGCGGCGCGGGGTGTTGACTTCAAAGTGGCCGACTCTGCAATGACGTACATCCTTGAAAGAGCCGCCTCCTATAAGTATGGAGGGCGCAGAATGGGCAAGTAAGGAGCCTACTGCCCCGTGCTCCTGCCGCTGGCTGCTGTTCGCGCTGGTGATGATGGTGTTACTGCTGCTGCTTTGCTGCTGCATTTGTTCTGGGTGCAGCTGCTGTAGCTGCTGCTGGCGCTGCCGCGGTTGTATGTCTGCACTGTCTTGTCGGTTGTATCTTTCAGGTACCTAGAGAAGTACATTAAACCTCGCGTTGCTCCATTGTTGATATCGGGCAAGCTGAAGCGTGGAGACCGGGCAGTATTGGCCCGCTCAAACACCAACCCCAACCAACTAAACCTCATTGTAAGAACAGCAGAGACAGAAGGACGCATTCTCAGTTTTGTCATTAGTTCTCCTTTTCTGTTTAAAGGCCTGCTGGCTGTCTACGATGGTTTGCAGCATCGGTCTGCTTCTGCTTTTACTGTTAATTATGTTTGTGCATTGGCTGCTCTTTGGCTTGGTTATGAGTGTGCTTTTCGTCTCGTGCTTTTTCTTTGTATCTCCCGCTACCCCTTTTATTTTGTCATTTCTCCATGTGTCAGCTTTCTGTGGTGGATTCTGTCTTCCAAGCCATATTTGCTTGTGATGTGTGTCCGCTCGCTATGTTTTTCTTTTAGTTTCATCCGTGCTGAGATTGTTTATAAGCAGTCGTTGCTGCACGCGATGTTGTTGCATTTGTTATTGTTGCAATTGCTGCTGTTACTGCCTTTGTTATTGTATTTGTTTCTGCTGCAATCGTTATTGTAATTCCATTTGTTGCTTTTGCAATTCTTTTTGTTCAAACAGGTATGCGAGCTAGATGAATCTGGAAACTGCAGACCAGGGACGAAGTACGGCACGAAGTTGGTGGTTCAGGAGGCAAAGCCACAAGACGACAAAGATGAGGAGGAGTCTTTGGATTGATACAAGGGACCTTGATGAGGCTTTTTATAATGTTATTATCAAATCTCACCCACTGCTAAACAATGCATGCAAGCATTCGGGTTCATATCGGCGTCCCCCAATGGGTCTGTCTCCGGCAGACCCATTGAGAACCAGCTTTCGTGTGTTGTGCTGCAAGTACACCTGAGACCGCGGCTTTGTGCAAAACTGTCGCTCGCGTGCTTTTCTCCATGAAGATAAAAAATCCTTATCTATGTGCTATACTGATGGAGACGGAGACAGACAGCCACCACTGCGGTGCTCGCCAGGCAACTTGGTGCATGTGACAAATGCACGTAGTAAATCCTTAAGGCCAAACACTGGCCCTCTTACCCCATCGATCTTCATCATCATACCCTCCCACTCTTTGTCGCCGCTTCTATTCTTGCTTTATGCCATGTTTATCTTCTGCATATTGCTGACCCCAGTTGTCGCTTGCTGCGTCGACTTTTTGCATTGCTTGTCATTCCGTCAGGGATGAGCAGAGCAACGCAGTGCCGATGTTCAAGTGCTAGCGTGTGGCTAGCCGGTAGCTAGCTGGTGGATTAGCTGGCACATTTCCGCGAATATGTGCACGCATGAAGCCGAAAGCGGGAAAAAGGCTTCTGTAAGAGGTGCCTTGAACAGGCCCCTAAGGAGGCAAAGGAGAGTGATTGAGGTGTTAATGTTACGTCTCTCCACCGTATCACTTGTTTCTTGTCGGGTTGTTTACGAGTCATTTGGCAACTGAGGAGAGATGGCACGGGACACAGACAGACAACGCAGTGAGAGGCATTTTCTCCTCTCTACCTTTTGTGCATTTCGATGAAGCAACGAAAAGTGGAACAACGCAAATGCAGCAAGGAAAGCAAACGCTCACCAACTTATCCGGCTTTTTGCCCAATAACTAATATGCCTGATCTTTGGCACCGAATGTTGTGAGTCCTCCTTCGTGGGCTATACTCAAGCAGTTTAAATTGTTTATAAGTTGGGGTTGGTGATACCGCTTAGGGCAGGTAGGACGATTAAGAGCTTTAGCCCATACAGGAGTACGCCGTACCGTCCATTACTGGAGATTAAGCTGTAGGTATGGCTTGCAAGGCCCCATTAGTAATTCAGCTTCGATTTTTAGTGCCGTTTAGTGCGTAGTAGGTTCTCTACATGGGTTGTAGTCTTATCCCCCTAGGTTGTGTGCTTTGCTCTCCTGTGGTCGTGTATAATCGGCTTGTAGCAGACAAATGTGTGCAACGAGATCAGCCAGTTCCGTGTGTGGGTTTCGAGCGCGTGTACAGTTCCTGGCAGAACTCCTTCATGTATTGTGCCGTTACTGCATACACCCTATATATACTAACCCATAACATGGGGAATCTTCACGTCGTCGATAACCACGAAGATTCAAGGTCGGCAGCGACACACATAAAAGGGTTCATGTTGGAAGGAACAAGCAGCTTGAGCAGCTGTGCAAGGTTCTTGCTTGTCTCCCGTTCACATCGGCATCTTAATAGAAATGTGGCAAAAACGTTTAACAACTACTGTTGCCTCCTGCTCTTTTTGTTCTATTATGGCAAAAGCTGAAGTAGGATATCTTAGGAAAGCGAATCCTACTCGCCTATTCATATTTCTACTTCTGTTCACTATGCTGGGTAAAATGAGCTTATTTCACTGCTGAAGGGCGGGTTACTTGTCTTGTGTTCTTTATTCTTCTATTAATCTATATGCCAGCCACCTTATTGGACGCATGCGAAGGCTGCCGTGGGCCGCCGAGAACGTCCTGAAAGAACACCAGTTGGGAGTCGTTTTTAGTTGGTTTCGTAGTTCCATATAGTTGAATAAAATCAGAAAACTTGTATATTTTTATCTGTTTTGCCGGTTTTAGAGGCGATATCGGGGTCAGCGCTCTTCGCTTGTTGGGTCTGTGTCACTTCGGATGTCTGTATCGAAAACTCTTCTTGCTTTCCATGCATTGGCTTTTAATCTGTTCTAATGCGCCTTTTACTCGCATATTACACCACGTAGGCCTCCTTAACTCAGGGTCTACTCGTCTTTTCCGCTAATCGACTCAGACTCCTCTGTCTCGGGCAGCTCCGGTCTCCGTAAACTCGGCACGACCCTCTCGTGTTATTTTTTCTATTTATCTGGCTGTATCTGTGCTTATCTATATCCCTGCGTTCCTTCGGCTTTTGTGATTCGCTTCTTTGTCACTTTTACCCACAGTTGGTGTACAATGAAGCGTCTCCCAATGGCGCCTGCATCTACTCTGTTTATTTTCTTAATTTTCGCTTCCACCACAGCACAGAAAGTAGGGGCTGCTCAGCAGCCTGTCACCTTCGGCAGCGCCATCGCCCTTGTTCACGAGGCCTCCGGGCACAAGTAAGATTGGTGCATGCACCTGCATCGGCGGCCTGTGCCGGCGGTGTTGTTGCTGCTACTGGTGTGGGTGGAGTGCTGTTGTTGGACGGAAACGTGCTATCTGCTGTTGCTGCTGCTCTTTGTGCTACACATGAATTAGGCTGCCGTGGCAGCATGCGTCAATATGTTGGTGATAGACTCGTGTGGGCTGCATGATACAATTGCACGTAGCGTCTTACTGCGAGCTCACGTTGTATTGAGGGAGAGTAGTTATTTGCCTGCCTTCCTCAGACTCTATTCGGGAAAGATATCGTGGGGCTCTTCTTCAGCTGGCCAAGCTGTTGTAAGTCTTCTTCGCCACTTCTTTATCATATGCCCTCCTGCTGTCGTTGCTTTGGAGACCTCTTTCATTCTGTTCTTTTCTCCATCCACATTTGTATTTACATAAATGAAAGAGATATGGAGATGGAAATATACTGCTTGCCTTTGTGTTTCTTGCTTTATCTTTCTTTTGTTGTTGTGCTTCTGCTTTTGCATCTCTGTCATTCCTCAGCCTTTCTTGTTCTTTGCCCTTATATGCATCTTTCGCCGTCCCCTTCTGTGGATTATACCTATGCTTGTCCTTACCTTTCTCTTCCAAGTTTCTCGTTCTGTGGCATTTCGTTGTTCCTCTGACCCGTTGGCCCGTGGGCTCTGCATTGTCTGTGTATTCTCGTGTCCGCGTGTGCAGTATATGTGTTGCTTTCTTCTCCTTATATATCTCAGTATAAACGTTGTGCGTGCCTGATATATTGAACATCCATATTCATTTGTGTTGCACAGGAAGAAAGCATTTGTTGTGTGTTTGGTTTTAGTGCGTCTTCCCTTGTGTGTCTTCCCTTGTGTGTAGTTCCTGAGGTCGCCTGCATCAGCACTCCATGCCGTTTCTGCTCCTTGTCACTGTTCCGTGTCTGTTTCCGCCTTTGCCACACTGCTTAAAGCAACAAATAACTTGAATTTTCTTATGTGTTTTGCATGTGTTTTTGTGTTATGCTTCGCTGTAGACAGCGCAGCCGGCTTCAGAGGCGTCGTCTTCTTCCATGTGGCAAGTACGGCCGGTAGTCAACCCTATCGTCGCCCCCTTTGACCCGTCATCATCATCTTCTGTTTCTGCCTCTTCTTTGGGATTCGGAGTTGGTGTCCCCGTCGCGTGCGGTTCGCGTGTAGTTCTTCAGCACGTCAACAGTCAGGCAGCACTGCGAGCAGGACAGGCTGAGGCCCCGTTGTCTCCTAACTACGAGGTGGGTTGACGTTGGCTGCTTTTGCCTTTTCTTCGTCTTGTTCATCTTCCCGTTTTTCTGCTTTGTTTTCTTCTCAGCGTTGTTGTTCTACTCCTTCATCTTCAGTGTCAGCCTGTCGTTATTCAGCTTTAGACGCTGATGATGTGTTCGAGCATTGGAGTGTCTTTAGTCTTCTCCTTCCTACATTGTAGTTTTCTTCTTTCTCCTCTGTCGTCACCTTCGTTCGCTGTGCTCACCCTCATTGTCTGTACACTTCTTCAATGGCGTCATACATTGGGTTCTCTATCCTTCTTCTTTGTTATGCGCCTTTGCCGTTCTCGTCTTAGTCTTTGTCTGGGCTTTGTTTCGTTTGATGGGTTCTGATTTTGCCTCTCTGTGGGAGGACCATTTTCTGGTTGTCTACAAAACGGTTGTAGAGCCTGCTTCATATTCGGCGTGCGACTGTTTTGGGCTGTCAATAATATGATTGCTTCTGGGAGACGTTCTATGAAATATTTTCGACAATATTGCCCTTATAATTGATTTTTTCATGTGTAGAATCGTGGGGGGTTTTCTTCTCATTCCTCGTTCCCACTCCGTTGCTGCCATTCCCAAGCACTATGCGTTTCCCGTTGCTTTGTCGTCTCCTGTCCCAGCTTTTTTTAACCCCTCTTGAGTCTAATGTTGAGGCATATTAATTATACGAATAATTACAAACGCATGTGGATGCATATATATATATATATATATATATATATA